GCTATCCTTAGAGCCGACTCAGCTTCAAATAGACGACGGCGGTATAAAGTCAAGTACGCATGCGGTCGATTGCTTGTATGCGGACGAACAGAATGACCGTTTCTTCCAGAATAAATCAGATTATTCAACATTTGACGAACTAAGGGTAACAGACGCAAAGTTACTTAGCTAGTCGGTATTGTAATCTTGAACTACACTATAGGGGATGGATCACCTCGAGACTTAAGTACGATAAGTAGCTTTTATTTTTAAAAAATTATTACAGTTTTGTCATGAACTACAGACAGGGTAACCCCCATAGTCATGTAGACCTGCTATTCTGTGATGGAAACCGGTAACCTAAGCCACGGGACTTGGAGTGGTAAACCACATAAGGCGTGGTATTAACCCGGACGACAGGAAAGCTGTCTACCACCAAATTTGGGTGGCAGCCTCCGGGTTCGACGCAGGGCATGAAAACCACGTCAAATGTAACAGACTATGGCACCTGACAGAAAAATTCCTCAGCTCGAAGTTGATCAGAGGAGGAGCTAAGCAACAGACAAATTACATAATTATCGTCATTCAGAGATTTTACGGTGCAAGGATGAAAGGAAAGTACCACATCCTTAATAAAATATTGCCCTAGAAGTAAGAAGATACAGAGGTGTGACTGACTAAAGCAAAAACAGCCAACATCGGGGAATGATTTTCGGCCACATGTTTGTCCAGCCACTGAACTTATTCGAAGTTTTGGGGTTTCTATGATCCTCGGGGTGAATTGTTTCACTTTTACTGACGTTCAACTTATATCAAATATTTATTTCGATGTAATCCTTTAATCCGCCGAGGAATGATACTCAAGGCCGGCTTGTGTGTTTCGATGCACAGTTATAACTAATGACAAACAGGATTATCACAGTCAGTGGAAAACGAATATAAGGAACAACGGGTAACATGAGTATGTACTAAATACCATCAAAGACGACTTCAAGATATGCGAGCTGATGTACCCATGCCTGACCGCAGAACTACGCTGAAGCAATACACACTGAGACAATCATAATAGTATTTCCTCACGAGAAGGGATACAATCAAAAAAGAACTTACCACTTTGATTGAATGCTTTGTCACAAATTTCACAAATATATGGCTTCTCTCCGGTGTGAATTCGTTCGTGCACTTTGAGTACATTCATCAAACTGAATGCCTTATGACAGTAACGGCACACAAATTTTCGTACACGTTTATCTTCCGGCCGACCGGGCGATATGGAACAACGATTCTGATCCGAATCACGTTTACGCTGTTGCTGTTCATTTGATTTATGCTGCTGTTGTTGTTGTTGTTTCCTGCTTACGGATGATAGCCCTGACTCAGAACCCACTGTCGGTGTTTTGCAATCTTCTCGATTGGATTGAGTACTATCGGCTCCTTCATCTGCAGCAAGATCATCTTCATCTTCTAGGTCGTAACCAGTTACTGGCACTCCCTCATCCGTTCCACAAACTGCCGGACCATCTTCCTCAGCATCGGTAAGCATGCGTTCCTCACTCGTCGGCGGACCTTGTTCTCCAGGGTCGAATTCAGTTTCTTGCAAATCTGACTGTACCAGGGTGCTCATGTCTGCCGTCGGTTGGGGTAGTTCTAGTCGACTGGTCAACGTTTGCATCGTGAACTAAAATGAACGTGTGATTGGGGATGCGTTTTGGGGCTTC